TGCTCCAGTCCAGCATTATGGACATGGGACTTGGAATCCCAGGCCTGCCACCTCCTGGTTGTAGGAAACCGAATGCCCTGGGCTTCAGTTGCCTTGCTGCAAAATGGGTAATTCTCACAGGTTTGTAGAATCAAACAAGCTAACAAAAACAAAGAACCAGCACTGAGGCCAGAATATTATACTGTAGAGCCCTCCTGGTCTATGTGATCAGAGCTAGTAATAGTTCAGTTAACCAAAAAATCAGTTAAAGTAGGGAATCATTAAAAATGGAGCCTAGCCAGGCTCGGTGGCTCAGCCTGTAATCCCGCACCTTTGGGAGGCTGAGGTGAGTGGACTGCCTGAGCCCGCGGGTTCGAGACCCGCCTGGGCAGCGAGACCTCATCTCTACAATAAATCAAAAAATCAGCTGGGCGTGGTAGCGCATGCCTGTAATTCCAGCTACTTGGAAGGCTGAGGAGGAAGGTTCGCCGGAGCCCAGCAGGTCGAGGCTGCGGTGGCCAGGAGCGGCCACTGCACTCCAGTCTGGGTGACAGAGTGAGACTCCAACTCAAAAAAAAAAAAGAATTCAACTTAATGTCTATTTGGCACGAACCAACTCTGTGCTCTTTTTTTTTTGTTTCATTTGATTATTAAATTACTTGACTGCTGGTACCATTGCCCAAAGTCAGTAGAAAGTGATTGGACTCTTTGCATTGCTTTGTAGTGGCAAACTTGGCCTAAGCCAGTTACATAAATGTATCCCTAAACATGTTTACAAAATAATTTGTACAAAATGACATTTCCATTGTGTCCCAACATAACTAAAGAGATAAAACTCCAGGGAAAAGTATTTTGGTAAACATCTACCAAGCACTTACTATGTCACAGGACAAGTATTGGAGTGCCTCCTTTGGTTACTGATATTCTTTATAACTATTTTTGAAGGTTTTGCAGACATGAGGTTATCTTCAAATAATTCTCACCTGTTAACCTTGTGTCTCATCTGTAATATTTTAGCCTCTGCCCCAGGATTTGAATCCCTTGTCTGTAAAGTCAAAGCTAAGTGGAGAATTGAATAATTATCTGAGCAATTTTGACAACAACAGGTGATATAATGTTTTAATTTGGCTACTTAAGTATTACTTGGGATTTAGGAGTGGGAGAAGATACAAATATATATTATGATATTGAATTTATTTTGGTTAGGAATGGGGACGATTTTGTTCCAACACCCTCACAAGTCTAGCAACCTGTCTTAATGCAGACATATAATGGAGCAAGAAGATTTATCCTATTTCCCTTTCATACCAAATGAAATTAATTCCACCTATAAGAATTCCCATCTACTAAAGCTGCCAATGATTTGTACGATAGCTATGGAGTCTGAATTTTATAATGCTGTAAAATGCACTAGAGAGTACAGGGGATACCTCTTCTGAGGTCATAGGAGAAAAGTGTCCCAAGGCCACAACAAGCTTTCCCCTCCACACGTGCCATTTTCCAGCATTGCTGGTGGTCACAGATAAGCACTTAGGGGATCGTTAATCCCGGCACATTCTTTCAACACCTGTGCAAAATAACTTAAGAGTGTGATCTATTACCAGGCAGATGTTTCAAGCCTAAAATTCTACACAAGTAGACAACAACACACTGGCTACCTGAGAAACTTTATTAAATCAAGATCACTAATAGTACAAATGCTTTGATTTATATTTTGTGGTCATTTTTAGAAAAATTCGTTTGAAGTGTTTGCACGCATACACAGGCTCACATGTGCACACAACCACCTACACACATATGTGTACCCTCCCTTTCATAGTCCTAAACTGTCCTTCTCACATTAGCAGTGACATGCAAGACACAGAGCACAGGCAAAATAGAGGAAATTATGGTGATGGCAGCTAAGAAATAAATGAAGTTGCATATGAAGCTTAGCATCACCTCTAAATCTTTTTTTCCTAACCTGTGCAATTGTACAGGTTTCACTAATGGTAGCCCTATCTCTATAAACATATTTTATCTCCTAAAGGAAATGGAAGAGAGTAGCCATGTCTAGGATAAGTGTGTCTAGACCATCAGCTGAGCATGCATGAAAGGCTGGAAGCTTCTAAAATAGTTATAAGAATTTATACTGAGCCTCTCAATGGAAAAACACACCAAAGTCCCTCAAGACTGAGAATTTAGTAACACAGAGTTGCCCACTGGGTGATGCTGGACCCAGACCGGGTGTTACAGTGATTGAGGAATGTTTTAACGGTAAACAAGTTTTGCTATTTTTGCTCTTGATCTAAATAATATCAATTAAGTAAGAGCTTAGACAGCATAACAGAAAATAAACGTTTATTGTGTTATTTTCTCTCTACTTGGAATACTAGTGAATAAAAGAATTAATGTTGTGGAATGATAACAATTGCCTTATGACACTACTATAAAACCCAGAATAGTGGTCTATAAAACAAATAGAAAGTGATTTGAGAAATTACCAAGTAAATATTGTAATTATAAAGACAGACAGTTTGAGTAAATATGGTGGAGGGGACCTCAATTTTCAATGGTGTGTGTGTGTGTGTGTGTGTGTGTGTGTGTGTGTGTGTGTGTGTTTTCCTCATTTACTGAAGTCGTTAACTTACAGAAATTTCACAACTTTCCAACATAACTAGGCTGACTTTTTAAAAGAATCTAGAAGAAAACAAAAACAAAAGTGTATTCAAGATATGTTGATCATAACTAGTCCACCTATGGGTTTATTCCATACCAATTGTAAATTTTCTAGCAAACTCGAGTTAAATTATTTTCTAGAAAACTTTCCACAGTGGAGATCTTTAAATCAATCAGTATAAAGTTACAAGTGTGAAAATTACCTTTCTGTTATAGCTGAAAATTAATTTCTTCTTGCTTGAGAGAAATGACACGCCCTAGTAATTTTCATATATTCTTTAAAATGGAATATCGAAGACTTGATGTGAAATTTCCTAAAAATGACCAAAAAATACATCAAAACATATCTATTAATTCATGAAATTAAGAATAGGTTTTTACATTTTCTCCTGTCACTGATCCCATTTGCCTTATTACTTTCATCTGTGGCCCACAAAGTTGGTGGCACAATCAACAAACCCCTCAGTGGCTGTTTCATCTCTGCTCTATTTGATTTCTTCTCTCTGAGTAAATGATTAAGTTTTCATGCATTGGTTCAACCAAAATCTATGTTCACTCAACCACATCCTTTATTGATTACTTCTACTGCAAACAGTAGGCCAAGTGTGATATACATAATTGGACAGTTGTCAGGGGACGTGGGTGTTAACAGTCCTGTTTTCCCAGTTGGAAACTGGAATCACCTTGATACACAAATATTCTGCACTGTTTCATTCTCATTCTTTGGACCGAGGAGTCCTGTTCCTCAGAATATATGTTTTTAACTCTCTAAGGCCTGGTTGAATGAATTTAATGATTATACCATATAATATGCGGTTCAAGTTGCACCTGTGCACTGCATATAGAAAACTGGAATTAATATTTGTCTAACATTTTAACCTTGTCCTTTAACTTATACATATAATCTGTCGCCTTTCTGTAAGAAAATATTGGATATTTTTTCCCCTTCCAAAGAAAGAATGGCCTCTAAATCTATTGCTAACCTTTGTATTTAGAGACCCTTTAACCAATATATAATGTTAATATTTCAGATGCTACATTAACAAATTTGCTGGCTATAGAACTGTATATTCATTGAATGGAGCATATGATTTATAATAGAAAGAATCTTTTCTTTAACACTATTTCTTAGTGCAAGTTCCAGATAGTTTGAGATGTTTTAGAGATCTGTCGTTCCTTTGGTAGAAAAACAACTTGAATTACAAAGTAACAGTTTTTTAAAAATATACCATTTTGTATTTCTTGTTCATTGACCTTATTTTTTTGTTTGGTTGTGGATGCTTTCATTGAACAATCTGTAGCAGGCCAACCCTAATCTGAAATGTAGTCCATCAAAAATATCTCTCTTTCTAGGAGCATGAACATAAATAAGCTTTAATGAGTCCATCTTAGCTAGATAGTAATTTCCCCTAAGGTTTTAAAGTGATATACAAAGAAACCTCTACTTCTTTCTTTCTTCATCATTTTTTTCTTGAATATTGTAGTTCAGGAAAGAGCCTGGAAAGTTAACAATTTGAGAGAACATTTTTAGCTCTTTAAATTCTCAAATTTGCTCAAAGTTCTAAGCAGTATATTTTATTTAATATTTTATGGTCTTGAGCACTCTCAATACCTTTTGGTTGTTTCACAAAACAAATATTTAAATTCAAATAATTAGTTAACCTCTAATTATACTTTATGCCTGTATTTGAAAAATTTCTCAATTTATAATTTTTCTGGAGAATTGACCTATGCTTAAGTGTAGAATATTAGTCACAATTTTAGTATGAAAAAGTAAGGACAGGATCATAAAAAGTAATATTCATAACTTTAGAAACATAAAATTCCATTTTATTTCGTATATGTAGAACATTCTTTACCCATTAGAAAGGGGAAAAAAAGATTATATTTGCTAGTACCTGACACTCAAATAAGCAAAAAAATGTTAGTTGTTTGATCCTGCCCACTAGAAAATAGTCACTAGAATTTTTTTTTTTTTGAGTTGGAGTCTCACTCGGTCGCCCAGACTGGAGTGCAGTGGCCGCTTCCGGCCACCGCAGCCTCGGCCTGCTGGGCTCCGGCGATCCTTCTGCCTCAGCCTTCCGAGTAGCCGGAATTACAGGCATGCACCACCACGCCCGGCTGATTTTTTGATTTATTGTAGAAATGAGGTCTCGCTGCCCAGGCGGGTCTCGAACCCGCGGGCTCGGGCAATTCACTCACCTCAGCCTCCCAAAGGCTCGGGATTACAGGCTGAGCCACCGAGCCCGGCAGTCACTAGAATTTTATACAGCTGTCTGTTTTGCAAAACATACGTTTAAATTATAATATTTAATTCATTGCATGATGAAAGGTTTTCAAAAATAACGCTTAGCTAAATTGAGTTTTCTCCTCAGTTCATGGTAGACAATAAAGTGGTGTGAATGTGATGACCGTTTATTTCACTGAGAGATAATAACACTTATTGAATCCCTACTATGTGCCCACCTATACGATTTACACAAGTTTTCATCTCATCTCAAGGCAGTTTGTGACCATTCTAAAAATGGGGAAACTAAAATTTTATTCAGTTTCATAACATTAATGTGGTCAAAGTTATTCAACTAAGAGGCTGAGCTAGGACTCAAGCCTAGATCTTTCTAATACCCACCATAGCACACTGTGACTTTAAAAGAATCTAATCTATTTTTACAAATATACCACAATTTATCTATGAAAATGAATGTTATTCAAATCTTAGGAGGTTATACAAAAAGATACCCCTAATCCTTCAAGTATCTGTTTAAAATAGGCTCCTTTGAAAATGCTTTCTGGGCTTGTGACATATTCTTTTGAATAACCCCAATAGCCACACATCATTGTTTGAAAGATAGGTTCAGTCTTTAGAAACAGCCAGAATAATTTAGAGTCACATTTGGAAAACACGTTGATAAAATCACTATGAGTAATCCCATTTTTTGGACAAAATTCATTAAATTGCTTATGAATGCCTTATAATAGTATACTCCCAAGGAGTTCCCGAAAGAAGCATTTCAAAAATGCCACCTGCCCCATCATTAGACAACATATGAAACCACTTGGAGGTAACTGTTTTCCTTTGCATGCTAAGTATTTCTGGGCAATTGGAAAGGTGGATTTAAAGCAGAGGAGAACAATCAGGGCTAGAAATATATATTTGCCAGGCGTGTGCATGTAAGGAATTAGATCACACCATAGTAGTATAGGAAACTGCCCACAGTGAGCATTTAATGGAGGAGAGAAGAGCACTGAAAAGAGCCAACTTTGGGTGGGCAGAAACCTCAGTGTCTGTGAGAGGCCTAGGATAAATGAGAGTTATAGTGGAAGTGAAAGAATAGGCATTGACTGAGACTGCTGATATGGGAGAGAGATAGGCATCTGGACAAAGGACGGTCCCAAGCTGTGTGTGGAAGACCTGGGGGAGGGTGGAAGAGGACGGACATGGAATAGAGCAAGTGACCTGTGGATGGATGAGCACACTAAGCATTTCGTACAGCTGAAAATTCAAAGATGTCATCCACAGTGCATATTACAATTTTTCAAATTTATGTAAACTGTTAGAGATCACCCTTTCATTCACTAGATTTGGCTTGAATTTCCTTTTGGCTGTCTTTTAAGGCCAAATTTCACCCCACGAAACACTGGATTTGCTTTCATGAGAATCATCAAATGGATATGCTTCAGGTTTCAAACCACAATTCATAGACCTATCACAGTTAATCCCATGTGTGAATTTATACATCTATCTCTCCAAATTGACAAACTCTTCAAGGACAGGAGCCCTTTTCCCCAGCAACTAACATATTTTAGGACGTTTGCTAGGCTCTCGGAATTTTTTGATGTTACTGAACAATCCAGGAGTCAGAAGTTTACAGCATGGTCTTTAAGTATCCATATGACTGAGATTCCCATGACTTACCCAGATGCTTAACTTTCATGTGCATAGCCTATCTGTTTTTCTTCTCAATTTTCAAATATTTCTTCATTCAAAAGTAGATAAATGTCTAGTATCTGCCAAACACTCAGCTAGAAGTTAAATATGTTCCTAAGCATTTTGCAAGGATATATAATACCTATATATGTGAGTTCAGTGATATCTGAGATTTCACTGCCTAAGGAAGTTGTGAGAATACCCCTAGCATTCACCTTCTATAAATTTTTAAAGTTTTTTTTTTTAAATAATAATAACAGCTTTATTGCGACACAATTCATATACCATACAATTTAACCTTTTAAAATGTACAGTTCAGTGGTTTTTAATGCATTCACAGAGTTGAACAATCGTCACCACTACCTAATTGTAATCATCCTAAAAAGAATCCTTGTACTCTTTATCAGTCACTCCTCGGCCTCTGGTAACCACTAACCCACTTTGTCTCATGGATTTGCCTTTTCTTGACATGAATGGAACCACATAGTATGTGAACTTTTGTGACTGGTATCTTTCACTTAGTGTGTTTTGAAGTTTCATCCATGTTCTAAAGTGTATTACTACTTCATTCCTCTTTAAGATTGAATAATACTCCACTGTATGGATACACCACCTTTTGTTTACTCATTCATCCATTTTGATTGCCAATTTGGTTGTTTCCATCCCTTGGCTACTAAGAATAATGCTGCTATGACCATTCATGTATGAGTTTGTGTGTGGACATGTCTATGTTTCTTTTAAGCATATATTTTGGAGTGAAACTTCTGGATCATATGATAACTCTATGTTAACGTTTTTTGAGGAACCTCCAAAGCAGCTGCACGTTTCCATCACAGTTTCACATTTCCATCAACAATGCATGAGGATTTAAAAATTTCTGGTTTAGCTTTCTGTGTACTCCAACAACAACAACAAAAACCATATATTTATCAGTTTGGTACTTACACTTTAAATCTCATTAACCTGATAACCATCTTGCATTTTCTACAACAAAGACACAAAATATCTTCTCTTCACTGTGACACTAAGTGAGATGATCCCCCAGTCATTTCCTGTTTTATTTATTTTAGCCAAGGAGAGACAACAGAAGCAATTAAATACTTGGAAAAAGTTGTTAACATTGCAAGAAACCGTTTTCAAAGCCTAGATATTGTGAGAGCGAGTACTTTGCTTGGGGACATCTACAATGAAAAAGTGAGTAAACGTGTTTCTTGTTTATGGAGAAATTTGCAGTTTTAAAAGTTTATTGTCTTGTGATCCTTGCCCTCCCACCACACAGAATGGTCAGGATTGCAGGAGGCACTTAATGCCCAGGCAAAGGCTAGGAAGAGCCTCTTTCTCTTACTCTTCTTCCAGTACTCCGGTGTCATTTGGGGCACAATGTTCACAAGCTGCTAACCCTAATGTGAATATTCACAGCCAAGGAGGATTCTAAGTGACTTTGGATTTAAGGAGCAATTAAAATATATAAATTCAAAGGAAGTTATTATATCTTTTGGTTCTTATCTGCTTGGACTGACATTCATCTATCTCTCTTGCTCCAAATTCTTGTTTTTTAAAATCAGCTGTGACATCCCCACTAAGTCTCTTAGGAGAAGAAACAACAATCCCAAGAATAATTCTGAGGGAAATTTAGAATGAAATTTCAGCAACAGACTGATCGTGTGAGAGAAGACAGAAAGAAAAATAAGGTCCAAAACAAAATGATCTTGTTCAAATGCCGTTAGAAGTAAAAATGCACTGGTCGGCTGAGGTGAGTAGATTGCCTGATTTCGCGGGTTCGAGATCCGCCCGGGCAACTTGGTGAGACCTCATCTCTACAATAAATCAAAAAATTAGCCGGGTGTGGTAGCGCGCGCCTGTGGTTCCAGCTACTTGGAAGGCTGAGGCAGAAGGATCGCTGGAGCCCAGCAGGTCGAGGTTGCGGTGGCCAGGAGCGGCCTCTGCACTCCAGTCTGGGTGACAGAGTGAGACTCCAACTCAAAAAAAAAAAAAATACACTGGTCATATGGACTTTTGTCATTTTTTTTCTCCTGATTTTATCTTTTTGTGATGGATTATTTTTTAAAATGTTATGAAAAAGACTTGTTTCTCTAGTTATAATAGCTGTTGTGACCGTGAATAAGACTCATCATTTTTTTTAAGGGCAATTATGTTCTCAAATCGTGTTTATACGCTGTGTGTTAATTTCTTTGAAAAGTTGTATATGTGGCAATAAATCACTAATTCTGAAACCAGACTGCTTGGGTTGAAAGCCCACCTCTTTCACTTACAAAATCTATGACCTGGAGCAAATTACTGACTAAAACATCTAAGTGCCTCAATTTTCTCACCTCATAATGTTGTTGCTAAGTATTGGATTAATATGTATAAAGTACTTGGAACAGTGCTTGACAGCAGGAGAATTACTGACTTTATAAGTGTTAGTTCTTGTTATTCTCTACATCCTTAGTGGTATCAATCGATCCTTCTTCCAGATCCTCAGAGGCTTTCATTTACCCCAGGTCTCCAAGATTCCAGGTGGCAGTGGCATTCAAGTCCATACCCTTAACCACTACAGGAGTCTATATTATTTGCCATAAAATTAACTGTATTTCAGAATGATTTGGGATTTTTTTAAGGAAACAAAGTTTAAATTAATGTGAATGAATGAAACAGTATTTCTTTAGCTCCTGCAATGGAGAAATAACTTTCAAACAAGCTGTCATCTTTTTTGTCTGTCTTACACCCTGTCTCTTTCTTCCCCTGGGTATATGCCTCTCCTTTCTCCTGTGTCTTAAAATCCGAAAAACCCCTTTTCTCGGAACTAGCTCCCTCCCTTATCCTCCTCTCTCCCTTCTCTCCCTCCTCCTTCCTTCCTGTTTCTCCTCCTTGCTCTCTCACCCTGAGGTCACCCTCTCCCTCTGATCTCCCATACTTTGGCTCCCCTCTTCCTTCCTGTCTTCCCCAGTCATTTACCTCAGCTGTGCTCAGGTTTTTCTGGCTGTGTGTGCTTCCTCGGCGCCTGAGCCCCTGTCCATGTCTTTGCCTCTGTTGACTTCTCTCTTATTGACTTTAATATTTGCTTTTGTTTACTTTGTGAGATGCAATGGTGAAAAAAGACAGGTCTTGTGAGGTTTACAGTATACTGGAGGAGCTCTTCCTATAGTAAGAGAATTGACATTCCCATAAAAAGATAGTCTTACTGTGTTAAAGGATTGCTCTTCAAAACAAAAGTGCAAAAGGCACAGTTTTTTGTTTTTGTTTGGGTTTTTTGCCCTACCACCAAACAACACCCAAAACTCAGCCCTTTACTTTACACATGGACATTGAGTGCCAGCTTATATTTTACTAATTACAAAATGCATAAGGAAATTAAGATACACTTTACTGAGGGATAAGAGTTTTATACTTGAATTTTTATAACATTATTGCCAAGAGTTGTATCTCATTTGTGTGTATTTTATTCTCTGATTTTTTATTATTACAGAAGTTAATTTTTATCAGTTTATTCCTATTCTAATATAAAATTGGGAGGATTCCAAGAATTCATGCTTTTTTAACATATATATATATGTTAAAAAGGCATATATATATATGCCTTCAAATGTACAAGTTGATTCATACGCCATAGCGATTGCTTTAATAAGAGTTCACTGATAAATAGGGCAATAATAAGTGGATAATATCATAACAGGATTTTTATGACATCACAGACTTTAAAACAAAGTGAAAACTGTTTTGCTACTGAAATTGTTAAAGTTGAATTTAATTTTTAGTACGTTACTGTGATTTTTTTTTTGGACACAGTCAAAAAAGCTGCAGATGACTTTTCAGCTGACTCTTCGTTGTATAATTGCTACTGAGCATGATTTGAAAGATATTAGACATAACAAAGTGGATTTATTAGAACTCAGTTGTAATTATTTTTTTCCTTCTCATCTTTTTGACACAGGATGATAGCTGTGATAACAACCTGAATTTCTACAAAGTCATTCCCTAGGAAAACATTAGCAATGACTTATCTCATGTCTCTACTTTTCAGTTGCTTATGGATGTTTCCTAATTGTATTAAATGCCTTTATTCTATTTATATAGCTAAACAATTCCTTAAGGTATTTGAATAGCAGAGCCAAGAAGAACTGCCCTGAACTGTGCCCACCTGAATTTAAACTGAGCTCAGCCATGAATTAACTCTGACCTTGGACAAGTTAATTCTTTGATTCTCAACTTCCTCACCTTTCAATTATCAATAACAGGATACCTTGAAGACTAGCTACATGAAGATTGAACTTTTAAAATACGTGTATGGTACCTAGTAGAGCTCTTAGCATATACTGAGTACACAATAACTCTTAGCTTCCTCATATCTCAAGCTCAGATCTCTACCCTCAACTCCTCACTCATATTGGCATTTCACTTAGATTGCTTCAACTATAACCTACTAAAAACTCAACTCAACTCACCATTTTTTCTCTAAATATTATTCTCCTACCAACTTAAAGCTCAACCGTGATATAATATTATTCAAGGATTTTTCTAGACAATCTTTTTTCAGTCTATGAGCTCCCCTTATGTGACCCCATGAGGACCCATGGCTTTAAATACCTTTCATATGCCGGTGACTCCCAAATTTGTATCTCCAATCTTAATCTCTCCTGGGACTCCCAGACTTGTTACGGCAACCACTTGCTCAGCATCTTCACTTGGATTTCGAATAGACATCTTAAGTTTAACATAATTCCTCCCTCTTCTGGCCTACTCTTTCCCAGTCTTCCTCACCTTAACAACTAATATCATTGTCCTTCAACCCAAGCACTCAAACCCAAAATCTGGATATTTTTTTATTCTTCTCTCCTCCCTGTTTCCTATTCAACCCAGAAGAAAACCCTGACCTTTATGCCACCAAAATATATCTCAAATCTACCTGCTTCTCTCTATCTCTGCTACTATCACCACATCAGTTTATGACACTTATTCTTTCACTTCAACTACTACAATAAGCCCCAACCTATTTCTCTGCTTGCACTTCCCTTGCCCCTGCCCCCACTCTCATAAGCCAGTCTCCACCAAAGGCCAAAGTAATCCCTTCAGAATGTAAATAAAATTCTAAATTCTCTGATTAAAACATTCTGTTACTTCTCATTCTACAGAGAACATAAATAACAATACTCACCCTGTCCTGAACTATGAGATGGCCTCTACCCCCACTCTGACCTCATCGCCTCCTACTATTTTTTTATCCACTCCACAGCCCAATTGACTTTTCTGGATGTCTTCAAACTTGCTAAGCCAGGACATTGGCCTTGGGTGGAATGCTCCTCATGGAATGCTCTGAACTTCACACTGATGGCTTCTTGTCGCTCAGGACTCTGTTAAATGCCACATCTTCATAGGGGTCTTTCCTTAGCAACTCAGTCAAAGGTGGTCACCAGGCACTCTTTAACATTCTGTATTTTGATTGTCCATGTAGCATTTACTTCATAGTTTTTTTTGTTGTTGTTGTTTATGATGTTTTCTGGGTATTGTTTAATTTGGCTAAGATGTAAGCTTGATGGGAGCAGAGGCTGGATCTTCCTTATTATTTTATTCCAGTGCCTGGAGGGAACCTGGTACAAAGTTGGTGAGCAAAAGTGTCAGTTCACTGAACCAGTAAATACATTTGTAACCAAGTTGATACTATTTGAGAGTAGCATTCTCTCACTTTTGAAATTTCAAACTTCTATTTCACTTTTGTAAACTGTTTTTTTTTTTTTTTTAGTTTTAATTTTAAATATGTGGGGTACAATTCAGAGTTAGGTATACAAAAGTTCATTATGCAGGTATCCTTGTTGTTGATGAGATATATTAGATGTGTTTATGAAGTAAATATTTTCAAATTTATCTATTAGATTTCCAGGACTAATTACTGGAAACATTTTGAAAATTGACCTAAATCTTTTATTTATTTATTTATTATTTTGAGTTGGAGTCTCACTCTGTCTCCCAGACTGGAGTGCAGTGGCCTGGCCACCACAGCCTCGACCTGCTGGGCTCCGGCGATCCTTCCACCTCAACCTTCCAAGTAGCCGGAACTACAGGCATGCACTACCACGCCCGGCTAATTTTTGATTTATTGTAGAGATGAGGTCTCACCAAGTTGCCCAGGCAGGTCTCGAACCTGCGGACTCAGGCAATCCACTCATCTCAGCCTCCCAAGGCACGGGATTACAGGCTGAGCCACCGAGCCCGGCTTACCCTGAATCTTTTAAAGCAATTCTAATATTTCCTTGCTTTATATTACTCATGCAATATACCGTAATTCTATTCTTAAGAATAATTTTCAAGAAATATTATTATAAGACCAAACTTAAAATAATTGGAAAAATATTGGAGTTTCCATTTTCTGTAATTATTATAATGAAAATTAGCATATCTTAAAAATATCCTGTAGCCTAGTTAATTTTTTACTATGGCTGATGGACCAATCATTCTACCCTCAAGATGGGATCTTTTGATGAACTGTTAGTTGAAACTATATAATTAATGTAAAGTAGTCAAACAAGAATGTTTTAGAGCACATAACTAGGTATAGGCCCTTCATAAGAATTCTCATTCCTTAATAAGATCAGAGAACAGTTACATAGTTAGAAGAATAGTGGCTCCAACACTAAAATTATAGAAAAAATGAGTAGGAAATTGCCCGTTTAGTTTTGAGCTTGCTCACTGGATAGAGTAGCATTTTAGATACAAAGGATCAGAATAATACACGAAAATTCCGTTATAATGTAATAATTCAGGCTTTATTTCAGGATCTGTGATGTCATCAAGATTCTGTCCTGGAATTTTCCACTAAGTGCTTTTCAGGGATATTTATAACATTAAATGAAGCTATCTTCTTCCCATTAGATGTGTTTATGAAGTACATATTTTTGAATTTATCTATTAGATTTCCAGGTCTAATTACTGGAAACTTTTGAGTTTTATAATAGAATGGGGTATATCAGATATCAGAATGAATTGTGGAATGATATCAGAATGATATCAGAATGAATTGTGGAAGCTTGTCTCGAACATTTGGAGAAGAGATTTAGATTTTAAACACTTTAAAAATTAAAAATCTAGAAATATAATAGATATTAGTTAAATCTTATCCTAAAATGGTATATATCAAAATGCTTGCATCTGAGAGGTATTCATGTTTTATTTCCTGATAGTGTTTCCTTTTACCAGAGAAACCGGAAAAACTGGTGTGTCTAAAGATGAACCACTAGACATAATTTGAGGGAAGAACAATTACCTAATTATAATGCTTCTATTTTAGCGGGGAAGCACTCGTTAAATAAGACCTATTCAAAGGCTTAGGCATATCATACAACCACTGAAACCAAGACTACCATCTTCACTGGAAACTCCACTCACTGCTGGATTTCCACTGCCTAGCAGTTGGCCTGGCTCATGGTTGCCTAATGACTGGATAAATGAATGAATCAGTTAATTTCAACATACTCACATATTAAAAATAATTTTGGAAATTAAAGTGCCCACTTATCTATGTTTCTTAATTTTCCTAATTAAGGCTCTCACCTAAAACAGTAAATAGTTGAAATCTCAGAAGGATAACTAGAACAATAGATATTTATACTTTTCTGTTTCTAAAAAAATAGCAGTGTTTGGCCTAATCATATATTTTCACATATTTTGTCCCGTATCTTTGATATCCACCAGGGCACTCTATAACTTTAACTAGTTTCATTTCCATCATCTTCAATATTTGTAGTTTCTCAATTGCAGTTTACTTAATTGGCTTAAAAATATATTGGATACAATTTTATTTTTTCTAACTAATCTTTTTCTTATATAAATTCTGTGTTTTATATTTTGAAATAAGAGAAGGAATTGTTCATCTCAACACACAAGAGACTTTCTTTGAATTCACAGATTGGGTTGGAATGAATCATTTGAGTAAACAGTTCACCTAAATTGTCCTTGTGAGCATATAGCAGTGTCATGTGTGCCGTTGTGTGTGTAATGTAACTGTCACATAAGTCCTATTTCTCCCCCTCCTTGTCTTATTAACAATTTTTTTACTAAGTCAGTTTGACTGCTCTGGGAACTTCATCATCATACATAGGTTCATGGGTTGCAGTTGCATATTACCTGTACTGGGGTATATGGTATAAAGCTGTTCCTATGGTATTTTTAATGCTCATTTCCTTCATAAAATATTGTGAAAGAAATAAATGGGAAATCCACATAATAAAACATTCTCTCTTATAAATGTTCATTTGCAAAAGAGTGTGCTTGAGTGTTTCTGTTTATGTGTTTGGGGATGTGTAGAGATGGGTAGTGAATGGAGAGGAGGGAATGATGAAGCCCAAAGGGTTATAAACCAGTGAAGAAAGAACAGTTTGTTCCCTAGAACCTTTAAAAATATAGATCAAGCAAAAAATAGTAATGTCTTCTGAGGAAGTGTTTTTAGTGAGGATTTTTAGAAAACTCGGGGGTGGCAGAAAGTCTATTCCCTGGGGGCCAATTTAATTATCTGTAAAATAAGAATAATATTTTCCTTATAGGTGACTGTAGAGGTTAATGACATGGTATATGTGAAGTATTTAGTACTGGCTTTGATGCTTCATAAGAGCTAGGTAAACACTATTCATTTGTAGATAATAGTTTTTACTAGAGGTGAAGATTACCAGCAACAAAAAAAAGAATAGATTTTTGAAACTTGAAATGTTGAAAATAACGTAGTAAAGGATATCTAATTTAATATGATAATGTGCTAGGGTCATCAAGATCATATTTTTTAGAAATCTTGAATACCTTCATGTTCTCAGTTGAGAAGAATGGCATGTGCTAATGTGGAAAAATAAGAACAGTAACCAAATAAGCGAATAGATATATTTCTTTCCTCTGGCTACTGACTAAATGAATTGGTTCTTGTATGACCCCTTGCTGTCAAACAAAAGACAGTTTAAGATATTTCAATAGGTAAATCCAACTCAATGACTAATAAAATTCTATCCACATCAATGTGAACTGTTAATTCTATTCACATCATTCCCATACATCTTTTTGCTAGCACATATGTTAGATAGAATCTTATGAAACTGCCAATATTTGATCACTTTTTTATCCACAAGAACTCAAGATACAGGTAGTTTAATATAATAGATACAACTTTCCTACTAAATTAATTTTCAGACATTGAACAGTCATCACAACTCTTTAAAACAACCTTATTGTAGTAGAAAGCCTGTTTGCTACCCCATTCTTCTTGAAGATGAACTGAGTAACTGTTGAAAGTTCAGCATGAGACATGCCAGAATAAGGAGGGAAATTATATGAAAAAATTAAATAAAAATTAAGAAAAAACTATTTCTCTTACTCTTTTAGGGATACTACAATAAAGCTTCTGAATACTTTCAGCAAGCTTTTGACACAACAGTAGGGATAATGAACACACCTCTGATGGATGAAACAAAAGTCCATTACGGAATAGCAAAGGCTCACCAGATGATGCTGACGGTGAACAACTATGTAGAATCTGCAGATCTCACCAGCCTCAACTACCTGCTCTCATGGAAGGAGAGAAGGGATGACATTGAACCTGATCCAGTTGTTGGTGAGGCATCCATGTTTTAAAACACTTTAGGTTTTATATCATTTTTTATGGTTAAATTGTTTCCATTGGAATGGTTTATTCAACTGTTGGTGATTTTAATTTTATTGGTAATTATAATTTGATTGAATCATTACTACAAGAAGGATGGATATACTTCCATACTATATTACCTTTGATGTTGAAGAGAAGCATAAAATAGTGGTAATTTGTGGTACTTGATAAATCACCATTCTTGTATTGATTTTTTTCAATTATCTTAAATAGTCAACAGTATGTACTGAGCAGTTGTAAGGTATGTAAAATAACCTTATACTATTTTTTAAAGATGTGGGGTACAATTCAGCATTAGATGCATAAGTGGTCATTGTACAGTTAAAGTTTGGGCCTCCCATTTATCCTCATTTCTCCTGGTTTGGGATCAGGTACCCACATTGATGTCATGTTCCCACCCCCCTTCCCTGGCAGGGTCCTGCTACTGCCAGTTCCTTTCTTGTAGTATTATGATAAATGTTCAGGTTCCACTTATGAGTGAGAACATATGGTATTCAGTTCTTTGTTTCTGTGATAGATCACTGAGTATGATAGACTCAAAATCCATCCAAGTTGCTGCAAAGTCCATGATTTTGTCCTTCTTTATGGCTGTGTAATTTTCCATTGTGTATATGCACCACATTTTAAAAATTCAGTCCACATTAAATGGGAAGCATGGTTGATTCCATGCTTTTGCTATTGTGAATAGTGGGGCAATAAACATGTGTGTGCAAGTAACTTTGTTGTAGAATGATTTGAGTTCCTCTGGGTATATTCCCAGAAGGGGGAATTGCTGGGTCATATGCAAGGTTGATTTTTAGATATTTTAGAAATCACCACACTGTTTTCCACAGAGGTTTTACTAATTTACATTCCCACCAGCAGTATAGAAGTGTTTGCTTTTATCTGCATCCTTTCCAGCATCCGTTTTTGTTTGTTTGTTTGTTTGAGTTACTAATGATGGCCATCCTGACTGTAGTTAGGTGGTATCTCAGTGTGGTTTTAATTTGCATTTCTTTGATGATTAGTAAGGGTGAGCATTTTTTTCATGTATCTGTTGACTGCTCACATGTCTTCTTTTGAGAAGTATCTATTCATATCTTTTGCCAACTTTTTAATAGGACTGTTTGTTTTTTTCCCTTTTGGCACATTTGAGTTCCTTGTAGATCCTGAATGTTAGACCTTTTTTGTCAGATACACAATTAGCAAATATTTTTTTTCCTGTTCTGTGGGCTGTCTCCCCACTCTTTTGATGGTTTCTTTTGCTTTGCAAATGCTTTTCAGTTTATTGGGGTCCCACTTATCCATCTTATCTCTTATATCATGAACTTTTTGGGGTTTTCATCAGGAATTGGTTGCATATTCCCATTCCTGTAAGGTTGTCTCATGCATTTTCAAAGATTCTTATACTTTGAGGCTTTATGTTTAGGTATTTGATCCATTTAGAGCTGATATTTTTGTATGGTAATAGGTAGGGGTCCTGCTTCAATTTTCTGCCTGTGATCAGCCAGTTTTCCCAGCACCATTTACTGAATAGGTTCTCCTCTCCCCATTGGTTTTTGGTGGAGACTTTGTCAAAGATGAGTTAGTTGAGAAATTGAGGTTTTGCTTCTGGAATCCCTGTCCTGTTCCATTGGTCTATATGCATATTCTTGTACCAACTCCAGGCTGTTTTGATTATTGTAGTCTTATAATGAAGTTTAAATTCTAGAAGTGTGATACTTCCTGCTTTGTTTCTTTTTGCTGAGGATTGTTTTGACTATTCATGCTATTTTTTGCTTCCATATGAATTTCTGTATTATTATCAGGTCTGAGAAGAATGATGTTGGTAATTTAATGGGTATTGCTTTGAATCTGTAGATTGCCGTCGATAGGATGAACATCTTAGCAATGTTGATTCTTCCAATCCATGAGCACGGAATATTTTTCCATTTGTTTGTGTCATCTTTGATTTCTTTGACCAGTGTTTTGCAGTTTTTGTTGTAAAAGTTTTCACTTCTCTGATTAGGAATATGCCAAGGTATTTCTTTGTGTGTGTGTGTGTGTGGCTATTGTGAATGGAATTATACTTTTTATTTGGTCCTCTGCTTGTTTGTTGTTGGCGTATAAAAATGCAACCATCTTTTGCACATTTATTTTGTACCCTGAGGCTTTGCCAAAGTTCTTTATCTATGCAAGTAGGTTTTTGACAGGTTCTCTTGGGTTTTCAAGGTATAGAGTTATATTTTCAGCAAAGAGAGATAACTTCCTCTTTTCCTGTTTGGGTACTCCTGATTTCCTTGTCTTGTCTGATTGCTCCAGCTAGGACTTTCAACACTATGCTGAAAGGGGTGGTGAGAATATGCAGCCTTGTCTTGTTCCAGTTTTCAGGGGAAATGCTTCCAACTTCTATCTATTTATCACTATGTTTGTTGGCTGTGGGCTTACCATAGATGGTTCTTATTAATTTGAGGTATGTTCCCTCTATGCCTAGGTGTTCAGGGGTTTTTATCAAGAAAGGATGTTGGATTTTGTCGAAAGCTTTTTTCTACATTTAATGATGAAATCATGTGGTTCTTGTTTTTACATCTGCTGATGTATTTAATTATATATGGTCTTGGCAGATGTTGAACCAGTCCTTCATCCCAAGGATAAAGCCTACTTTGTCATGGTGGACAATTTTTGAGATGTATTGTTGGATTCGATTTACTAGACTCTTGTTGAGAATTTTTGCATCTGTGTTCATTGGGGATATTGGCCTGTAGTTCTCTTTCTTTGTTGGGTCATTGCCCTGTTTGGGTATCTGTGTAATGCTAGCTTCATAAAATGATTTGGGAGAGTTCCATCTTTCTTTATTTCCTGGATACTTTTGATAGGATTGGTATCAGCTCCTCCTTGTATGTTTTGTAAAATTCCACTATAGTGTCATCTGGTCAAACGCTTTTTTTTTTTGTAGATAGTTTTCTTATGACAGTCAATTTCCTACATTATTACTGGTGTATTTAGGGTGTCAATTTTTTCTTGTTTCAATCTTAGGAGGTTGTGTGATGTTAGAAAGTTCTCCACTTCAATTAGGTTTTTGAGTTTGTTTCCATACTGGTGTGTATAGTAAACTCTGATAATCTTTTGTAGTTCTTTGAGATCAGTTGTGACTTGATCTTTTGCATTTCTGATTGTGTTTATTTGTGCTTTTTCCCTTTTTCTTGGTCAGTTTGGCTAGGGGGTCCATCAATCTTGTTTATGCTGTCAAAGAACTAGCTTTTTGTTTCATTGAATTTTTTCTATGATATTTTTGTCTTCTATGTCCCATATTTGGGCTTTTACTTTGGTGATCTGGATTCTTCTGTTGAAGTTAGGGTTTTGATGGTCTTGCCCTTCCAGCTTTCTTTTCTTTCTTCCAGTCAGAGTCTCACTCTGTCACCCAGGCTGGAGTGCAATAGCACGCTTATGGCCATTGCAGCAGCCTCAACCTGCCAAGCTCAGGCAGTCCTTCCACCTCAGCCTTCAAAGTAGTTGGAAATACAGACATATGCCACCACTCCAGGCGAATTTTTTGACTTATTGTAGAGATGAGGTCTCACCAAGTTGCCCAGGCTGGTCTCAAATCCCTGGACACAGGCAATCCTCTGACTACTACTTCCCAAAGTGCTAGGATTACAGGCATGAGTCACTGCACCTGGCCTTCCAGCTGTCTTAAGTGATTTGGTAGACTGTTAACTCATGATCTTTCTATTTTCTTGATGTATGTTCATAGAGTTATAAATTCCTCTTTTAGCACTGTTTTCGTAGCATCCCAGAGGTTTTGGAAAGATGCATCTTTGTTTTCATTTATTTCCAAGATATTTTAATTTCTGTGTTGACCCAGGAGTTGCTCAGCATCATGCTGTTTAGTGTCCATGTCTTTGTGTGCTTTGGGGAGGGGGATCTTGTTGGTGGTAACATTTATTTTTATTTCACTGTGGTCTGAGAAGGTGCTTGGCAGTATTTTGATCTTATGAAATTTATTTATGCTTGCTTTAGGGGCAAGGATGTGGTTGATCTTGGAGTATATTATGTTCCATGGGTGATGAGTAGAATGTATATTTCATAGTTATTGGGTGGAATGTTCCATAGGTACCTATTAAGTTCATTTGGCCAAGTGTCAAAATAAGGTTTGGATCTGCTTGTTGATTTTTTTCCTTCAATGATCTATCTAGAGTTGTTAGTTGGGTATTTAAGTCTCCACTTATTATAATGTTAGATTCAATATCTTTAGTTAATAGTTGCTTTATAAAACCTGATGCTCCTCTGTTGGGTATATATATGTTTAGGGTGGCTATTTCTTGCTGATGTATTGAACTTTTTGTCATTATATAGTGTCCTTCCATTCCTTTTTAAATTTTTGAAATCTTGAAGGTTTGTTTTGTCTGATATTAAAATCATAACACCTGCCTTTCTTTTTGATTTCCATTTACCTGAAAGTTTATTTTCCATCCTCTAACTTTAAGTCTGTTAAAGACCTTTGTAGTGAGATGTGTTTCCTGGAGGCAGCGTATTGTTGGGTTGTGCTATGTTATTCAGCTTGCCATTCTATCACTTTTCAGTGGTGCATTTAGTCCATTGGCATTCAGGCTGATTATTGAAATGTGACAGTGTATCCCTGTCATGGGGCACTTATAAGGCTGTTTTGTTTTCATTTTAACTTTTGCATTGATATATATGTGTGTTTTCAATTTTGCAGGTGCAATGTATGCTTTGTTGGTTCTGTTTTCTTGTACTCTGGGGAAGTGTATAGTGGTTCTTTCTTTCTTTTCTTTTCTTTTTTTTTTTTTTTTTTTGAGTTGGAGTCTCACTCTGTCACCCAGACTGGAGTGCAGTGGCCGCTCCTGGCCACCGCAGCCTTGAACTGCTGGGCTCCAGCGATCCTTCCGCCTCAGCCTTCCAAGTAACTGGAATTACAGGCATGCACTACCATGCCCAGCTGATTTTTTGATTTATTGTAGAGATGAGGT